GCAGATATCATAGCGCATGCGCTATGGTTTCTGTATTCTGCCCATGGTTCCTGGATTTTCAATCTACATAAAAATACATAATGCATAGCCACGGGCATAGGCACATACATTCTCATTGTAGTCGGTCCTTCTAGAAAAGTGATCAAGAAGAAAGAACGGATTTATATTGATTAACACGTAAGTATTCTCATTATTTAAGTATCAACGTAATGAAATTACGAACTGACAGTGACCGTATATAATTATTAGTGTGAATTGTCTCAGTTTCGTAAACATAGTGTTTTGAGGTTAATTTGATTTTGTGTGCCCAAGTATCCAAATTGCTTTCTACTTTGAAGGCTCAGAGCTCCGCGACTAAACAAGATGCAAGCAAACTGCTCGAATCAAGACGCGTCGAAAGCTAAATCGGCGCAAGATCCGAAGACGGATAGCGAGACGTCGTCGAGTCCGAGGCGATCACCAGAAATTGTAATTTATTGCAAAATAAACGCATCATCTCATAATTTTCGGTAAGTTTTATATACAGTTTAGGTGTAAAAATTCATTATTAAAACATTTTCTTGATTTGGTTAATTTTCTCGAATAATACTTTATTATTTTTTATGTATCATTGAATATTTTTCACTCATTTTGATATTTGATGTTTGCGCTGTTTGGCCATTCTTTAACGTTTTTGCAATTAGTTCATACAATTCTGAATGTGATTTTAATTCGAGAAGACTGCATTGGATTGAATTACATTTGTCTTTTCACAGAAATGGATGATTTCGATTTGTTGTTAATTGCTCTGGTCAACATGGGAGCACTTTTGGTGCAACGTCGTAGAAACCGTAAACGTCATTGTCGCCGTCGGCGTGTCTGGGTACGACCAATTAACACAAGGAGAAGACAGCAAGGAGCGTTTTACAATCTTTTTCAGGAGATGAAAACAGATCCGCAAATGTTCCACAAGTATACACGTATGACACTGCCAACATTCCAGCTCTTAATGGACATTGTTAATCCAAGTTTAATGAAACGAAGTCCACAGGCACTTGAACCAGAGCAAAGAGTTGCTGTTACATTGCGGTATGTGTTTGGATTACTTGTAGTCTAACAATACATATGTGTAAAAACAGTTTGGCAATTAATATTATAATATTGATAATGATGTTACAGATTTCTGATTGGAGACAAAGTTCCAGCAGTTGCTTTTGCCTATCGTGTTGGTTTATCAACAGTACATAAAATAATTAAAGATACGTGTGACGTATTTGGAAGACTTCTTGGTCCTATCTATCTACGAGTTCCTTCAAAAGAAGAATATTTACAAATTGCTGAGGGTTTTTGGACATTATGGAATTTTCCACATTGCTTGGAGGCAATTGATGGAAAACATGTCGATGCTCAATACCCCCCTAATTTTGGTACGCTGTACTTCAATTATCACAAACGATACAGCATCGTACTTTTGGCTGTGTGTGATCACAATTATCAATTCACTTTGATGGATATTGGGTCAATGGGGAAGAATAGTGATGCGGGAATTTATGGGAACAGCGACTTGAATGTGACGAATAAGATGCTGGATATTCTAGAAGGAACCAGTTGCTTAAGCGGAACCGATATACAAGTGCCTTATTTTTTTATTGGGGATGAAGCATTTCTCATTGGAAAGCATTTGATGCGGCCATATGCTGGACGGTATTTGGGGGAACGCAAAAACATATTTAATTATAGACTTTCGCGAGCCCGGCGTATAATAGAAAATACATTTGGGATTTTGGCAAAAAAGTGGGGCATATATAACAGACCGATCGCTGCGATTCCTGAAAATATCAATAAATATATTTTGGCAACTGTATGTTTGCACAATTTCTTAAGAAACAAAGAAGGTTATATTTTACAATTTGAAAACAATGATGAAATTATTGAAAATAACGAAAATGGTGCAGCATTTGCGACGCACATTAGGGACTCTCTTTGCAATTATTTTATGACTCCAAATGGAATGGTCAATTGGCAGCATGATTATGTAACGAGAGGACAAAATCAAGACTTTATCTACACGTAAACATTTGATCGATTGATTACACACGTGTCATATTGTGAAATGTAATGCTAATATGTATTTATTGTGTGAATATAAAATAAACAGTATAAACAGTATAACACATATAACAGTATAACATATATATATATATATATATATACAGTATAACAGTACACATATATTTTATTACTAAAATTAATATCGCACAATCTTAAAACATTAATATTATATGTATCATATGTATCATCTTAAAACATTAATATTATATCTTATTATTAATATTATATGTATCTACGAATAAATGCAAATTATTTATTTTATCACAAAAATCATCTCGCTCACAGGTTTTCCTTTCTCCACAAAATTTTCATGATTTCTTGTTTCTTGACTTGTTGTATATCATCATCCCATTTTTTTAATTCCGCCACAACCAAATTGCCAAATAAAGTGTCTGCATTCTGCATTTGTGCACCATCTTTTGTAGAAATCAAATGCTCTGTAATAGCTTGATTGAAATTAATAAAAGACGCTTCGAACTTATCGTTTTCAGATTCTGTATTTTTTCCGTCTTTTTTAATTGATATATTAGGATTAAATTTGCCCTTCGCATATGACGGCTTT